TATCAAATGACTTTTGTCGCTACCGTAAAGAGAGTCATCACTAGTAAATAGTTTTAATAGTAGTGCTAGTGCTTTGATAAAAGCGATTAAGTAATGAATGGAACGGATGGACCACTGGGGTTCTACATCCTCAGTCTCTGCTCGAGTTCGTATGCCAATTGTCCGCCATGGCCTGCCTTTGAGGGGTGGTAGCTCGCGCGCTTTGCGACGCGGGTCTGTCTGCGCTCATACTCTTCTTCATCCTCGGACGAGCAGTATTCAGAGCACGAATCATCCTCAAAGTACGAGTGGCCATGGCTTTCGGTGAATGGGCAGTCGCAATCGTCAATGGGGGTGATTGGTGAATCCTCGTCGGAGAATACGGTCGAGTTTGAGCGAGATGAGTATGCAGATGAGATTGGCGAGTCTCCGCATGTGGTGGCGGCGCTGGTCATGACACTTACTGGGCGGATGTTGGTGTCGAGGGTAAGCTTGTGCATAGCGAGGGGGTTTCGGGGTACTGGCTGGATGATGTGGGATGCTGGGCGATATCTTGGTGGGGACTGTTGCCTGCGGCGCTCAGACTGGGCGGGTGAGGAGTCGCGGGAAGATATCGAAGAGCTTGGGGAGGGAAAGCGAGAGGAGCTGCGGGAGGAGGAGGTTGAAGAGGTCGGGCTGGCTTCACGAGATGACCCGACGCCGGTCTCGAGAATGTTGAGCGTGATGCCGCGGGTAGGCTCTTTGCAGGTGGGTTGGTTAGGGTCGTGGGACTCGAAGTATCCGTCTAGGACATAGTAGTACCAGAACCTTGAGGGGGTAGCAGGGAATTTTAGGGTGATCTTCCAGAAACCGGGGCCAGCGGCGGTATCCTGGGCCATGGACATCTTCTTCTCGTACTTATCCCATGAGCCGAGCAAGTGGCAAGTCTCAATGTGGGCGGGAGTGCGGAGCTTGAAAGTGGTTGATTGGAAAGACATGGCTGAGTAATTGATTATATTTGGATATTGGGTAGGTAGTTGTAAATAGGGTGATAGGGCAAGTTGGGGTAAGCTGGGCAAAAAAAAAAATATTAATTAAAGAAGAGAATGATGACTATCAAAGCCGAAAAATTTATTATATAAAAAAAGTTATGTAAGGGGGGGGGAGACTCGACTATCAAAGTACGAGATCTTGGTGTGAAGGGATGAGGAGGAGGGGGGGGGGGAGGAGGATGGTGATGAGGATGGAAGATAAAGACTGGATTTGGAGGGGGGATGTGGATGGTATTTATCACCATCTAGTGGATTTGTATGTGTGAGTAGCCAATGTGTGAAAACGCGAATATCCGTAGGTACCTGTCTTACCCAATCCCAGCTGCAAGTGGTGTGTGTGGACTTGAGGAACAGCAGCTATGCAACACAAACACTGGATCTGTCAGTCAATCACATCACAAAAAGACAAAAAGGGATCAGCACCCCCAAAAATAAAAATAAAATGCCCTAAAATGCCCTCAACCAAACAAATGCCGGCTACATGGGGGGTGCCTGTCTAGTCGTTGGAAAACAGCCAGGGCCGAATTTGATGTTGGTGGCCATTATTCATGTGGGACAGAACATTGTGTGCCTAGGTCTAGAGTATCGTTTGGAACGCATGAGCCAGGGGCTGGACCATTCACAAGGCATGCATGGCGCCTCGCTTCCTGTAGGCTGTTGGTTTTTTCTTTCTTTCCCTTTCTCCCTTTCCTTTTCCCTTCCCCCTTCCTCTTTCCCTTTTCTCTTTTGTGCTTTAACGAACCCGATTTAGAGTTAGCGAGTCATCGCTTCTCTTCACCCCTCATCGTTTTATGGCCGATATGGTAGACTTCCCGCACGCGCAAGGCGCAGCTATTCTTGTCTCTCCCCCTGCCCTTCTTCCCCTGCCCTGTGGTTGGTTCATGGTGTGGTGCGTAATTATGCGTGGGGTCGATTTGCATACCCTTGGCCCTGTGCGCCCCACCGGTTATTTGTGGGTTGTGTCAAGTGTCACTAAAGTCGTCTTTCCCGTCCGTTTCGGTGGATGATGATGATGATGACTTTGGGGTCCTGGAAGATCGCGAGTGAGACAGCCGAGTATCCGGGTGATGAACCGAGTGAGTGAGTGAGGTTTGCTTTGGCGACTAGATCTTTGCTGAAGGAGCAGGCTTTGCGGATGATAGTCTGTGATACCTACATCTACACAACTGAATTGAAGTCCAGCTGGGGTAAGGCCTAGAAGCATAAAGTTAATTAATGAATTAGATCCAACAAGGAGAAGGCTTTCCCATGCCGAGCAGAGGTCTTAATTGTAGCCCTTACCTAGACCACAAAAGCCAGAGTAATATTCCTTAGAAAGCCTTGTTGGTTGTGTTGTAACTTGTAACCGTCCAAGCTAGCTGTGGTTGGAGAGGTTGGAGAGAGTTGTGGTCGTGGGTGTCCACCTGCAGCACAACAGCCCTACTAACGGCTTCAATACAGCTCACCAACCACAGACCTTCCCCCACAGCCCTCTCCATCACCATCATCATCGACTCCCCACACACCACAGACCTCCGTTGACACGTCCCCGCAGTTCTCAAACACCCCCTAAAAGCTTAAATTCCCCCCAAACCATGGTTGACACAACACCCCACGTTCCGAGGCAGTGTGAAGCGGATGTTTCATCATGACAGCTCCCCTTGTAGAAGATCACACAGCTCCGTTTTTCTTTTCTAGGGAGACGGGGTTGTGTCAGAGATTTAGTATATAGGGGGGAGTATTCCTCTTCCCCCTCTTCATCTCCTACGTACATTTACGTACGTCTCTGATCTATGAGGATGTGAGTAGTGGCAGGCAATATTGAGCATGAGCTAAGTATTCAGGAATGAGGACAGAACTATCCCCATAGATGACAGCAGAGTAAAACGAGCTGGTACGGCAGGGTCAACAATTATTTCTCTAGGAATTGATATCGTCATGATCATCTTCCTAGCATCGACGATCTGTTAAGTCCACCCCCAGCATATGCAACGCCATGTCAAAGGTACCTAACGTACAACCACTGCTTCATTTCAATATCAGGGTTCTTTGGAGAGTTCCAGCTTTCAAGGCACACGCCTCGACAATGACTGGCAGGATATCTTTCACTAGATACCATACGTTGCCAACGAAATCCTGTTTCCCCCACATTGTTCACTGACCCTTTTCGTTATCAATTACCGCGATTACAGAACCATCGGACCGACAAAACCTCCAAACCCCGCTAACCACATCCATCGCTCTATTTTTAATCCGGCAACACCCACTGTATCCCTGCAATACGCAATCCCTGCATGTTCGTTCATGCATACTGCATCATAACCGGTTTCCCCTCTCGCTCCAACCACCAATCACACGCGCCAAAAATCCAACTGCATAAACAACCTCCGCCGAATGGGATGGATGGGCAGTGGTTGGTCATAAGATCGTGGATGATGAGTTTTTTAATTCTGTCTACCTACCTAGTACCAGGACGCCGGGGAATTGTTCTCCCAACAAAACGGTGTTTGGTAAATTAAACACCTGTTGTGGTAGAACGAATGGGAGCTCAGACATGGAGGAGGGATAGGAATGGTAGCTAGCTTTTGGGCTGAGAGCAGAGGGCGGATGGCGCGGCGATGGTGGAATGGATGTGTTAGGTGGGATGTGCTAATGGGCTAGTTACACAGATTCAACCAAGTATCGTGGAGTATTCTAGCTCAGAGACTGCAGGGCGGGTAGGGAAGAACGTTTCGCCGGTTTTCCGTTGTTGGAGCATTCGGTCCGGATCCGCTGTCAAGCCCAGCATTGACTTCGGGCAGATGTCCGCATGCGCAGATGAGGAAGCACGGATTAGGTTACATGGCAATAGACTCGATGATGTAGGTTGATCAACCAAGCTTCTCCCTAAAGTAGGTAAGGGGTAAGGTAGCAGAGCGAGTAAGTGATCTAAAAACACATATCCTGAATTACTCATCCGCGCCTATGTAGAGTGATTTTCATGTCCCTAATATATTAACTAAGTACAGATTTATGCATGCCAGGACCCAACATAAACTCATCCTGTGACCCGGCGGCAACCTTTCAATAGGCATCATCCACTATATCAAACTTTTCTGTCCTGGCAGGATTAATACGTGACAAAGAACGGTAGCACTCGTCACACACTTGTTGACACATTCCCTGTTAAATTTAACAATCGAATTCGGCGTGTCAGAGACCTTATCAGGAAATAAACTAACAAAGCATTCACGACGTTATCATATCTACTCGCGAACAGTTTCCTTCTGCTTTATTCACTTGCCTATTTACTGATTACAATCGCCTCACTTCGCAAACAATTGGCTGAGGTTGTAATTGTAACATTCGTAGGGCGAATCTACTTGAAATCGATACGTCAAGGGAGCCTTGCGGGGGCATTTGTTCGATGTTTCTACTGGTCGTTAGGGCAGACTATCACGCAAAACCAAGATGATCATGGTCCTGCTAGAGATTGTCAGGTTGGAGGTTGGGCGCTAAGCTAGGATATGGGTTCCCTGTTCGGATGTTAGAGACACGCACAATCATAGGGTATCACTCGGTTTAGTTGTTTTTCTCGTACCCCGAGGATAGCGCCTTTTTTTTTTGTTTAACTCATTAATTACATCCGAGGATAGCGCCTATAAATACGGCGAGGATGCGAAGGGAGGGATGATAGTACACGATTGGTTAATATCTTTTTCTTATAGGGAATGTGCACAGCATCAGTCCTATGATGTTCTGCTGCCGAAACTCGGGAAATTAGCTATGCATACAAGATCAAACTTGCAATAAATGGATACTTCTGAGGCTGATCGATACCTTTCAGCTAATCGTTTTAGAGATAATTCCTGGGCGGAGATAGCCAATTTTTCGAGTTTTGGCGGTAGTACTATTTTCCCTGGCGCATTGTTTTTTGCGGCTCGTTCCGAAACAGAGGCGTTAAGGAAAGATTTTGAACCTGTCGCACATCCGGGGCAGGTTCAAGTAGCAAATGTTGACTCTGATTCTCACAGCAGCGTAGCCAAGCGGAAGCGCGCCGGGCTCATAACCCGGAGGTCCCTAGATCGAAACTAGGCGTTGCTACCAAGTTCAATCCCCAGTGCTTACAGTAGAATTTGTTATCCCACCTATTTTTTGACATGAGCTCACCAGACGACGCAAACTACAATACTACACTTATCTTATATTGTTAAATCAAAGATTGAGTACCCTATCACCTTAAATTTTTCGCTTACTCTGTTGTGGGTTACCTTGGCTGTCATTGTTTTCTAATTTCGTGGCATTAAGCTTGTGTGCAAGGTTCAGAGCAGATCGACGGTATCAATTGATCGAAGGAAATAACTGCTATGTATCTAATTAAACAGATACATGTGGTTTGCGGTAAATTATTGTGAACAATGACGAGGATTATATACAACACATTAATATATATGGAACATCTCCAACTCACAGCATAAGCAAAAAGAGAGAAGCGCGTATGCAATTTCTACGATATTACCAGAAGATATATACGTATATAGAAATAGTCCAGGATATCAAAGTTATATCAGTAACTGTCCCATAAATTAGTAATATTTGCCAATATCAGAACATGTTAGTTCTATACTGACTAATGAGTTAAACAAAAAAAAGTTCTATACTGACTCATATACGATCACTCGGTAATGTCACTCTTGGCGTAGCAGAGCGTTGAGGCTCAGAGAGGCGTGTAGGGGTGCGGCGGGTTTTCTTTCGGAATTATGTTTAGAGTCTTTATGATTTTGACTCTTGGTATTATATTATTAATGCTTTCATTATTGCTCGGGGTCTTATGTTGAGTTCTCCCAATGTCAAAGCGACGATTTACGCCTCGAAGCACATCGCTAGTTGTAACTTTCTGGGGATGATACCCTGTAAAACGCTATAGTTTCTATATCGCACCTACCTATCAATTATGTATACCGGGGGACGGTCAACTTTAGTTTATCCGATGTAATAATCATAGGCGATCACTCGCTAGCCATGTTCTGCCAAAGGGCTTGGCGTCTTGGGAAAAGCCCTGCCTTAATCACTACAATTAAAGCTCATTCCTCTTTGGCCCTTTAGTACCCATACTACTGGTATCTGCTGTAATCCGGCTTGGATGGCGAGAAAGGTAAATAGCCGGAGCCTGGAGGGCATATTGAGGTGTGAGGCTTGACGATTTTCTTAGGACTGGTGGCCCGAGTGATATGCTGTGAATATTCTCTGTTTAGGAGATCGCACTGGTGCTTTGGAAGTGTGAGATATGTAAAATTCAAGTTATCCGGGCTCGAAAAAACTCCGGAATATATTTATAATTGACTCATCTTTGGGGGTAAGTCAATTCTTGATGGTTCCCACTTAGCTAGTGTTTGGTTGGTCTTTATATCCCTAGTGCCATGGAATTTACGGGTAATGTGGTTAACTGTAGCTAGACTGAATTCATGAAGTATTCTGTGAGATAACTCGAGATATCTTTGCTAGCTTGAGAGTGGTGCGCCTCTAGCTCTGCTAATCAGCTCCTTCGCTTCGACGTACCTTTGAACCTGTATATGCCGGGTATTTTTTCTTTCTTTTCGTTTAACTCATTAATTACATGCAAACCGTAGTCTATGGTAATTGTATATGCCTGGTGGATTGTAAGAGAAAGAATACATTTGAAGGATTAAGGATAGGTTGTTTTCTGGTAAACACCAGGAAGACGCCATTGGTGGGAACAGGATTGAGGGGTCCTGTCAGCGACATTCAGAATATCGTGATTCGTTAGCATGATAGTGGACAAGTTACACTTAAGATACCCAAAGAGATATAATCTGAAGCTATCGTTAACCTGTCAACCCTTTTCTCCTGTGAGGGCTGTAAACATATAACCACATCATCAGCTCTTCGATGAATACCAAGGGGGTGTACATACCGAGACAAACGCCTTTTTTTTTGGTGTGACTTGTGAACCGGAGCCACAACATTGTAGCAGTGGAAAAGGCGAAAGCAGAAGCTGCTATTCTAATATTAAGATAGCGAAGATGGAAAGGTTGGTGAGTCGACAAAATACAAACGCTAAGAATTTAGCCAAAGCTCCCGGCGACATAACTAAGCAAGCTGGCTATGGTCAGAGGGCTTCTTGAACAGGCCCGTACCCCGTAAGTAGCCAACAAAGCAAGTCAAGGGAGGGTAAAGGGGGGAAGCTGGAGGGAATCCCTTTCATCACTCATTGAAAGGTTCATAATCTGAATAAACTTTCTAGGTCTGTGGGTACATTCTCCCTCGAATTACAGTCTATTAATATTCTAGTCATATCATAGTCCACTTCAAGGGGAAATTGCGGATGACAAAAGATCCAACTCCCCTAAGTAGGAGTAACTCGGCTCCCGGCCAATTGCAAGCAATATCAAGGTTTCCTGGAAGTCTTTTCAGAAAATGCTCCTGAACCCATACATGTAGCGGTCTCTGTGTTTGTGATTCAAAAAGAGTTTAAGTTACTGGAGTGAACAGAGGGGAAGAGTGTTTACATGTCATACTCGCTGTTAAACTGGCCCCATGGAGGATAAAATTACATTTCTTTACGCTGGCCACCAAGGCGCTCGAGATCTGACAGGGCGTATCGGCCCAAGATCGGAGTGGAATGTATATACAAGCTGCTCTCGGCAGCCCGATATCGATCGGCATCGTCGTGTCGAAGCAACCTAAGGTAAAGTCTTGACCAGTTACCAAATAAAGCAAGGTATTCCCTACCATGCACCAGATTATCCGCTTGGTCCGCCTAAGCACCGACCCTGTTGTAAATGGGAGTATTCCAGAAGAATCGGCTTAGATGCCTAAAGTCCACGTGGAAATTAAAGATAACCTGTTCAGGGGGGTAGAGATGGTCTTACCACCGGAATTAGTTGTCACGTGTGAATTTGATCAGGGGCTGTGCTTGAAGCTTTGATGAAGAAGCAAGGGTGAGATGGTTGAGCGGGCTAGGAGTCCGGGGGACGGCAGATTAAGAATCGCACCTGAAGAGCCTATCGTGAGATTTCTGGACGAAATGTGATGATTGCATATTAGTTCATAAGGGCATGATTGGTTTTGGTGGGGCAATGTTGGCATATGTTTCCCAACGCAATGGCCGGCTGGCCTTGTCGGGTGTTGTGACAGCACTAGCTGGTCGATCAGGTAACCCGACGTGACCTCCATTCAGAGAAAATCAATCAGAATTAAAACGGGGCTGAGATATAGTGGAATTTCAACTAACTATGGCGCGAGAAGGCATCGGGGGTGGATGTGTCAACTTCAGAGAACTTTTTTGTATGGGAATTGAAGGAAATTCCACCGTCTAGGCGCTTGTACCGTTATGGGGGTAGATCTCCAAATTTCTATTGATTGATTGGCTGCAAACGTCGAAGTTTACACACCTACATGTACCCACCATAGCTTCACGAGCCATAACTAATTAGGAGTCACAAGATTTGTTTATATCGATCATAAAAATTAAAAGCCACTCGACTCGTACTCCCGAACGAAGAAGGGCTCCAGTAATTAAAATATATACCAAGCTAGTAGTATCTACTTAGCTAAAACACCAATTGGCTAAGCTATACAGTCGATCGTTACCCGTCCCCGACCGAAATCATTTTTTGTATATTTTTAAATTTACTCCGATCCCAAGGCACATAACACCGTCTCACCATTAAAACCAAAAATCCCATTACACTCACCAATCTGTGTTTGTTCTCGTCTGGATTTTAATCGACGCCTCTGGTCTCTTTGGCCCCATATTCATCTCCATTACTTCCCCGACCTCACCCCTCTCCTGCGGCGCCTCCTCCACAAACCCCCCTCGCCTTATCCCTTCCAATCTCTTTGGCTTTCCACCTTTTGAACAACTCGAAAATTGCCATGCTCCCGAGTACACCAGTGTACAAACATATCGCAACCACCAGTCCCTGATCTTGTTTCCTGTCGGCCACCAGGAGTGAATGCCGCCCTCATATGTCTTGTCATGATTTGTGAGAAAGAACGGTAGCACCCTCGTCCGTGTCGACCGGCCCCCTACGTATGCTCCATGGCGCATATCAATCTCGGCCAGGTTCAATCTCGGATAGCTAGTTGCTAGACTCTGGATCCATACAATTTCGTCTGTCAAATGCATCTGCAGCTTAGCAGCGAAGGTTTCCAAGATCTGTAGCACCACATTGCCGGAAAAGTTGTACGGGTCCACATTTCGTAGGTAGGCATCGAGATCTTTCAATCCGCCCATGAAAGCTTCATGCTGCTCAATATTCTCCTCTGCCATGCCTTTAGATCCAACCGCCTTCTCAATAAGAGGGAAGTAAGCGGCCTCCTCGCATTCATGGTGGTTGTGGATGAATTCGGCCCAGCATTGGCAATAGGTGATGAAGTCTGCGGCATTATAAGGCGTAATATGCGTGCATTGGAGATAGATGCTATTCATCCCGCGGATTATGATGTTGTGAGTCAAGGCCATTTTGGAGGCGGATTTGATGAACTGATTAGTGTACTACGAGGCGGTTAGTAGGGATGGAGAAAAAAGGAGAGGGGGGGGAATGACTAATGAACTTACTCCAATGTCGCAGGCTGGAGTGGAGATGAGAGGAAAAGGGTAGTCTGCCCAGGCGCTATCCATGATGAAGATGATTCAGAAGTACGGAGTTAAACGGCGTAGTAAAAGTGGTAGAAGAAGAAAGGTAATAATAAAAATAACACTGATAGCTATATAGTATCAGGAAACTAATGTAGTAGATGCACGAAGAAGATCAAATGCACCTAGACAGATAGCCTACAGATGGGTCGAATATTCTTGCAGTACGTCTTCAGAGAATCTCCAGCCAAAATATCCCCAGCTTAAAAGAAGGATAAAAGTAACAGTGATCAGCGCAATCCTATATATACCCCCAATTGATAATTGAGTTCCTACATGATCCGGCTCCGATCCTCCTGAAGAAAAAAATAAAAAGTAAAAACCGATATTACTAAATAAGTACTAAGACTATCGCTCCAATTAAACTAAGAACGAGCGACAGGCCACCCCATCTACCCTCGATACTCGGCAAGAGGAGCCCAGAGTCTTTGCACATATCGGA